CGGATTGGCCTAGGCGAATATGGGATCCGAGATTGGACGCGTCCATACTTGGATCCAACATTGGACGGATATTTTTTCAGGCCATTCTGGGATAAAACATAGAACATACGTCCATTCTAAGATTGGACTGAAATAGTCAGGCGAATCTAAGATTGGACTAGTCCAATGTTAGAAGGGAAGATAAATACGGCGAATCTTAGATTGGCCTAGGCCAATATCAGAATGAATACATAGAATATTCTACTCGATATGAAAGATTATCTTTGAGATTTACACTTTTATCAAAGAAATCAGATTTAACAAAAATGAAATAACGAAAGCAGTCAAGAGAGATGTTAGATAAAAAAAAAGAATATAGCTGAATGTATTTAAGGTCCTTGATTTTCGCAACTTGAACCATTTTTATGGCACTTTGTAGAGCAGAAGACATTGTTCTTCTTGCAGGCACATTGTTTAGTTTTGCAAGCACCTTTGCAGGAGCAGGTACTTCCATTTATTGCATCATGAACAAATAGTTTAGAGGCAGTAATGATCGATATTTCTTTTAACTCTGTTTTGTCCATCTGAACTAGTTGCTCTGATACGGCAGAAAGTTTGACAACTGACTCCAGTGACCACCATTGATTGATGACACCAAACAGACATGCAACTTTGATCTTTTTGTCATCACGCTTTTCAAGTACAACCGATGGTAGTATCTTGGGATCCGTATTCGTTCTATCGACCTTGTCGATCTTGATACCAACGTAGTCACCAACCGAGCAACTAGACCACAACTCTTCAATATGTAAATTTCGCGTTTTGATCCTTTTATTAGCATTCGCTAAATATACTTCTTGGGCGCGCTTACGTATTGGTAAATGTGCTGAATTCATTGCACCTAAATTGCATGTGCTTGTTTCATCAAAACGTTGTGAAGTTTCTTCACTTTCGGTATGAGTATCAACAGAACAGTTTACTTGTGATGATGAAATAGCAACAGTTGAATGTATTGCATCAGCTAATTGGGCAACTGTATTGGATATTGGTAAGTCAATTGAACTCGATGCATCAGATAATACAGTTGATGAAATATTGAATTTTTGAGTATTAATGACATCGGCGTTGTGTACGTCATTAGGCATGAGATTCAAATCAATGTCTGCTGTAAGTTGATTCAATACTGTATCAGGCAAATCCTCTTCATTTTCTATACCTTCAATTATAAGAAACGCCGTGTTTACTACATATTAAAAGTCAAAATATGAATTACCTTGTTCACTTAATGATTTCCATATTTCGAAATCAACTCTTGGTTTCTGGCCGAAAACAATTTCATAAGGCGTCATGTTTACACCGCGAGCTAGACTAGTGTTTAGTGAATAAACCACTGGAGGAAGGCAAGTAGTCCAATGTGTAGTGTTCCGGTCAGTCATAAATTTGCCCAAAACATCGCATAAAGTAGCATTGCCACGTTCTACCAACCCCTGACTTTGAGGATGACGGGGGCGCCCGTTGATGATGACAAGCCCTGGCCATACAATTTTCAGATCTTTAATAACGCTAGCAGTAAATTCTTTGCCGTTGTCTGACTGAAGAATTTTACACGGTCCAAATTGGTAGAATAGGGAGACCAAGTGTTCAGCAACAAATCGAGCTTCTTTTGTTTTCATGGGAAAAGCCCAAGAAAACTTGGAGAAGTGATCACGACAATGTAAAATCCACTGATATTCACCGTCAGGACGTGTTCGGAGATCAATAAGATCCATTTGTAATCTTGTCAAAAACCCGAGTGATATGATTGCTGTTGACACGACATGACTTTTGACTGATTTTCTGAGTTGACATGCAACACAGCACGTCAAGTAAAGATCAATGATGGTTGATGGTATCCAATAGTAATGCTGACTGACCTCATGCCTCATTTTATCCCGAGATCCGTGACCAGTTTTCTCATGAACATCGTTCAAAACTGTATAATATGATTCCAAGGTAACAATTCGTCGATCAGTCTTTAATGAGCATAATATGTCAACTCCAGAAGTATTGTCAATTTTAAAATGATGTTTACACCATCCATGATATTTTGCATCAATACCGCTGCTCTTACCGCCTTTTGGATACTTTAAAGCATGAATAATCTTACGATAATAGTCCAATGAAAGCATAGCTTTTTCGGGATATTTCAAGCCGGCTCGGTAATCATTGACTTTAGAATAGAATGTCTTTTCTTCATTGGAACGACCAGCATTATCCTTGGTCATTTCTTCATTACCGTTAACAATGATAGTATCATTTCCATCAACGATTACATTGGAAATTTCATTGGTTGTTTTAGGTGTCGATGAAGCACTGGTCACCAATAAATTGCCATTCATAGTAATGAAAACAGCACCTTGAAGCGCAGCGTTAACTCTTGAATTATATTAATGACTTTAAGAATGATTTCAACTAATTTTCTCAAAACTCTTCATATGGCTATTACTCGTTAGGTTAGTTATATAGAGCGAAGTAGCCTCTCTATGTCACAAAGAATTTGTGAAGTTCACAATTCATTCCAATATTGGCCTAGGCCAATCTGAGATTCGCCGCATTTATCTTTCATTCTAACATTGGACTAGTCCAATCTTAGATTCGCCTGACTATTTCAGTGCAATCTTAGAATGGACGTATGTTCTATGTTTTATCCCAGAATGGCCTGAAAAAATATCCGTCCAATGTTGGATCCAAGTATGGACGCGTCCAATCTCGGATCCCATATTCGTCTAGGCCAATCCA